GAGTGTGGAAGTTCGTCCTGATCCGAGCACAGGAGGAGTTTGTGGTGGCCGACACAAACAACGACGGTGTGCTTTGCTCAGTCTGCAGGGCCTGAGGAATTCTGAGGACCTGCGCGGAAGCTTCACTCATCTCACTCATCTTCGTTTATCTTCAAACAGCCCTGCAAAGCATTGCCATCGTATTGCCATCCTTGCCAGCTCCACTCGTAAAATGACTTGTGAAACTACGAGTAAATGCGTGTAAAAAAGCAGTAAAAGGGTAAAACCATCCTGCGAAGCCCGAAGACTGCCAAGCACTTGCTGAGGTCGTCTCTGCAGAGGAGTTTGCAGCCTGGGCCCAGCCACGTCTGTCTCCCGAGGACCGCTCGGCACTGAAGTCTGCACTGAAGTCCGCACACGAGTAGCCTTGCCGACTCGGATCTGCAGAGCTTTAGGGTTTCGGGTAGACATGACGTGATCTTCTCTGAACAAAGTCTTTTTGATGATTTTTGAATTTTCCAAAATCGATCATTTGGGCAACAAAGCCCCTGAGACAAAAATTGCCACAGCCGAGCAGGTTCAGCCGGCACTGGTGGCGGCTTCCTTTGAGGCCAGGGAATCTTGCAGACCATGCTTCACACGTGCTTCTCGACACCGTCCCAAGAATCTCGGCACACTGGAACCTTCAAGGCCATGGACAGCAACCACGATGGCGTTCTGACGAAGGAGGCTTCCTGGTGTGGCAAAGCAGCCACCCTCCAACATCCCCGTGGCAAGCCCAGCCCATGCTGAGCCACAGGAGTTTGAGAGCTACCTTGTGAGCAAGGCAGCTCAGGCGGGTGCGACTTGTGCAATGGGCATGGGTGCAAACAATGTTACCAGAAGAACTTTGCGACATTCGCCGCCGGCTTGGGACGGATATCAGACCTGTGTAAATGCTTGCGCGCGCCACCTCCGGACTCGGGCTAGCTCAACACGGGGTGCGGTATGCTTCGGTAATGGACTCGCAGCGGCACATCGCAGACGAAGCAAACCCACACTTATCCGTTGCTTTGTCTTGGCTAGGGCCACCAGGGGGCCAAGGCCATGCAAGGCCCACTGCCCCAGAAGTTCCATAAGATTTCCATAGGGGCCAGGGGGCGCCGCTCCTACAAACCACGCCAAAACAACACGAAAAAAGGGGGGTTTTCAAAACCTTGACATGCCCTGACACCCCCTGAAAACGCCCTTGACTTCCTGGGACCTTCCTGGGACCACCCTACCTCCCGGACCTTGCTGCGTGTGTGCTATGTGTCGCTGCTTTCGCAGGGACTTCGCTCCCATCAAAGCTGGGTAGGGAAGGTACGACAAAGCCACAAAGGGGGGTGGGGGGGGGGCCAGAAGGGCAGACCAGATCCTGGTTTGCTTGCCTCTCCGCCGGAGCCGAGGCGAATATCGTTGTTTGTACCTGAAAGTAGTCATGTGGATGTGTCCGATTTTGCGTCGCAAAGCGTAGCCGAAATTTGGCGGAGGAGCTCCCAACACCATCGGACTGTTCCTTGGCTGTTAGCTTGGGCTTCCTGAGCCGGACGTGTTGACAGTCAGTTATGTTTTTTGGCAGTCTAGCTGTAGCATTTATGTTTTGTACTGTTTTGTGTTTTCAGTTTTTTGGCTGATGCACCGGTTGATTGCCGGGTGGGTCTTCATTGAAACAAGTACTACCATTTCCTACAGCCTTCTCCTTTCGGCTATCTGGGCAATGGGACATGACCGTCTGACACTGAGAGCTCTGCGAATGCAACGTTAAGCCAGCATCAAGCGGCAAGGAGAAAAACACAAGGCGACTCCTCTAAGCATAACAGACAACGACACCAGTGAATCTGAGGCTTCGGATCCTTGGGTGCAGAAGTTACGGAGGCGAGATATGATGACCGTCTTGTTGGGGAAGGGCCTCGGTCTGTGGATCTCCCTTCAAAAAAGGCAGCTCTCGAGTCCGTGGCCCAGCAGCTGCTCGGCGACCTCGCCAAGAAGGCTCTGCAGCACGTTTCGTAATTCACCTTTTGACTGCAGAATCTGTGTAAAACCGTGCAAACAATGAAACACGAGTGGGTTTGCACGTTCTACACTTCATCACCTAAAAAAAGCATCGAAAAAACGTATGCTATCTGGTGAGCACTGTGTGCTTGATCTGCCTAAAAAGGCCTTATTCAAAGCACAATTTCTGCAGCAGCAAGAACAACAAGCACTTTTTGCACACGTTTTTTGGGGATTCTCCCCCAAAAAAAGCGATAACCTTGTGAACACCAAAATTCAACAAAAATAGCAAAAATAAGTGGGGTCCCGGCTTCATGGTTTTGGATGTTTGGATTTGTGGGGAAAATGTTGTTTTTTTTCCCAGAATTGCTCGTCTATAATACTTTTCTAGGCTGCTCATGGGCAAACAACGCAATCTGTGTACAAATGTAGCAGCAGCAAATGTATATTACTTTCCAAGTGGAAATTCATATAAATACGATTCTTCTTTATCTCAAGAATATTTCATAGTTTATCTACTAACACTTAATCTAATTTGGATTTACACAGTTTGGTATTTAATTTACTTTTTGTCCAATGAAGCTCATTGTTAACTTTTAATCAATCACACCATCACTACTACTGCAAAAATAGTACTGGCAGTAGCATTATTAGGAGTAGGAGTAGTAGCAGTAGTAGCAGTAGTAGCAGTAGTAGCAGTCGTAGCAGTAGTAGCAGTAGTAGCAGCAGTAGCAGTAGTAGCAGTAGTAGCAGTAGTAGCAGTAGCAGCAGTAGTAGCAGTAGCAGCAGTAGTAGCAGTAGTAGCAGTAGTAGCAGTAGTAGCGGTAGTAGCAGTAGTAGCAGTAGCAGTAGCAGTAGCAGTAGCAGTAGCAGTAGTAGTAGTAGTAGTAGTAGTAGTAGTAGTAGTAGTAGTAGTAGTAGTAGTAGTAGTAGTAGTAAGTAGTAAGTAGTAAGTAGTAAGTAGTAAGTAGTAAGTAGTAAGTAGTAAGTAGTAATAGTAGTAGTAGTAGTAGTAGTAGTAGTAGTAGTAGTAGTAGTAGTAGGCTTTCCCCCCCCGTGCGACCGACAAAACACTATTTTACGCTTCTTTCTTTAAACGCGCGTTTCGCTCGGGTTTCTGAGGGTGACTTTTTGAAAATGTGCACAACCGCACTGCAAAAGTGTCGTTTTGAAAGCTATTTGTTTTGCAAGACTTCGCGTTTTCGACGAGAACATGCTGTAAAAACCAGCATTCGCACTTTTTTTGTTTTGGCATTTTTTCGTGGCTCCAAAAAACCACTGATTTTCACAATCACGCACTACGGCAAACCTGCTGCCCCACTATGGCGTAGGGTGTAATGTAAGGAACCGGTCACCTCGGGGCCACTAGGTCAGTCCCAGTTAGGGTTTGTCTTGGGTAAGGCACCCTTCAAAGGAATGAATGCAGCAACAAAAGGGTCGCTAGGTCAGTCCCATGTCGGGTTTGTGTCGGCGTCTCAAAGGAGTTAGTGTAGCAACAGTATACAACACGCATATATATATATATGTATATATATATAGAGAGAGAGAGAGAGATGCTTGTTGCCTTCTATCATAATTTAAATAAACATCGTCGAGGTCCGATTGTCATTGGTGGTGTTAAAATTTAAATGGGGTGCCCAATTCAATTTTAAATATTCTAAAGATTTGGAAAGGCCCCCCCCCCCCCGGCGCCCCAATTGAATTTTAAAGGCTTTAAAGGTTTTGAAGAATTTTACAGTGGCCCCCCCTGTTAAAGTTTGAATGGGGCCCCAAAACAATTTCAGAGATTTTAAAGATTCTAGAAAGGCCCCCCCCCCTCCCGTCAAAGTTTAATTAGGGCCCCAAATATATTTAAAAGGCATTAAAGATTTTAAAGATTGTAAAGGGGGCTTGCGCCGCTAAGCTTTAAGTTCCTAAGGCATGTCAGGCGCCATGCGGGAGCGATCATGGCAAAGGTCAGCGGGGCCCAAATAAAGTTCAATGATGTTAAAGTTTGTTTAAGATCTGAGAAGGGGCCTCCCCTTTGAAATTTATGAGGGCCCCAATGAAATTTTAAAGGTTTAAAGGATTTTAAATATTTTTGAGATTTTAAAAGGCCACCCTTTGAAATTTAAACGGGGCCCCCAGTTCAATTTTAATGATTTCAAAGATTTAAAAAGCCTCCCCCCCCCCCCCCCCCCGCCCCAATTAAATGTTCAAAATTTAACCCATTCATTTATGTTACAGATTTTCAAGATTTTAAAGGTCTTAACATTGTTGAAAACCCTAAACGAATAACTGGGGAGGGCCCCTGATCCTTGCTTAATATCTTTGAAAAAAGTCAATGGGAAGGCGCCCTGATTTTTTTTCGGATTTGTCAAGTTTTTCAAAACCCTTGAAAACCTTCAAGGTCCTTAAACAGTTTGCATCGGAAGGGGTCCAAATGTTTTTGTTTTAAGGACTTCAAAGATTTTTAAAACTTTAAATGGGCCTGGGGGGGCCCGGGTGCCCTTCCCATTTAGATTTTTGAAGACTCCCATTCAAATTTACTCAAGATTTTGAGGATTTTCAGTATGTTGTTTATAATTACATAACCCGCTGTAATTCTCGAAAAAAACGCTAAAACACTGAACAATTCGAAACAAAGCAGTGTTTCAACCGAAAAACACTGGCCCATAGTGTGGCGCACTCTCTAACTCTATCACTTGGAGCAGTGAATAGCTTTGGTAACGTATTTATGATGAAATAATACTATGATAGTTATGCTCATCGAGATGTAAGATGAATATTCCATGGAATAACGGCAATTTGTAATTAAATTCAGATTCATATGAATTCCAATTGAGACCAAATAACATATATATATACACATATAAAAAGAACAGTTTTTTTATGGGAAACTGTTTGCGAGGATATCTACACATCTAAAAATTAATTCGTTGTAGTTGAATAAACCACTTTTCAAGTATGAAGATGATGTAGACGATTGCGAACCCGGAATCTTGTGGTAATGGTGATCTTAGTAAGATATGATTTCTACCTCGATAGATGGAACAAAGGAGAGAGAAGTATTGAACATAATAAACGTTTTCTGATTTTTCATGTATGAACCATAGATTAAGTTCGCTAATAATGAGAGCTGCATGAATCAGGTAATGAGCCATGGAAATAGATATTCAGAACTATGGTTGATCGAGGGTTTTCTACACAGAGTCAGTGTGGGAGGGTTAGTTTGAGGATGTTTGGTTTTGATGGCTTCATTGAAATAAACACACCCGATTGAGGAGTTTTGATTAATTGAGCAATTAACCGAATAATAATGTACCGCTATAAGAGATCGCCTGGTGAAACAAGTACATATACCTCGTAAGAGATACTGATATAACTGATCACTCACAGAGTGAACGAAAGAATCGTAAGAAATGGCGATTAGTTGCTGCTATTATATATCCAAACTAAAACAATCATGTATCATTCATGATTGATATAGATCAGCTACATTGAATAGAATCCTGATCAGATATCAGATAGACGTATTGAAGTGGAAGTAGAATGAAGAAGCAGCTACTGCTTAGTAAGCGCATAGAGATGGATAAACTTAGTATTAGGGCTTATAAGAAATTCCTACAGCCCTGATCGTGGGGGGAGGGTGAGCCATATGGTCAGCGATACATATATGTATGTTATATATATATATATATGGTATCCTCCCCCACTCCCCCCAGGTTATCCACGATCTTGGAGATGTGAGCAGGTACAACTTGTCCTTTATGCCGGCTTGCGCCGGTGCATGTATCACAACACATACAAATGATGTAGGAACATACGGATAACATGAAGCAAAACGCTGGGGATGGAACCGCAAAAAGAACCAAAATGCAGGACCAGCAAACAACAGAAAGGACCGAGCCAAACGCGGACAACGGAGGGGATACCACATACATAATTATTCACAAATGTAAAATGTACATATGAATGTAAATAAAGCTGCATCTTCTTTCGTTTTCGGTGTCGGTACACGAGTGATTTGGGTGTTCAGATCTGTTCACAAGTTCGAAATCAAAGAAGTGGAAAGGCCGACCGAGCTGCCAGCCATGCCACCGGCCCCATGGGCTCTGATGGGCCGGAGGCAATGCTGCAGAGATGCTTAAGCCAGTTTAAGCCCTTCATGCCAACTTCATGCTCCCGAATGCAATGTGAGCAGTCGCAGCTCGACCATGCCAGGGCTTCCTCCAGGCAGAGTTGGCTGCGGTCCTAAAGGCAGAAGCAGCAGAAACAGATACTGCGACAATCTAAATCATTCCCCACAGCCTCGGCAGGCTCCCGTAGTAGGACACAGCTCTCATGCAGGCGGCGACCAGAGGAGCAGCAAGCCGTGCAACGAGCTCTATGGGAGGCGGTTGCACTCACAGAGAACTTGCAGCTTCTGGCCAGGGGTAAGTGTGTTGGAGACCCGACCTGCCATTGTAGCCTTCTGCTGGTTGCCTGGGACGCCTCGAAATAGGGAGGAGTGCACCAAGCTCAAGTCGCAGTGACACGAGAAGCTGGACTGACAGGAAGCGCTGCCCCGCAGTCGGATGGCAGCATGACGGCCGGCGGCTTGGAACAGCTGACCCGCCTTCTCCGCAGCTTATAGGATGTGAAGGTGCTTGCAGTTGAGGTCGCGGAAGAGCTCGCAGCGGCTGCATTGGCAGCTGCTGCTGCTGCGCCGCCATCCACAGCTGCCACGACAGAGGTTTCACAGGCGCCTCGAGTTCTGGCCCTCTTCCGAGTCCTGCGTTCGAAAACCACACACCCAGCGAACTGCATCGAACTGCAAGGACGAATCCTTGGCCCTCCCTCCACTGGCTGTGGCCTCGAGGAAGTCGTCACTGTGGAGTCATGTTCAGAGTTCAGTCTCATGTCTCATGACCCAGTTTGTCTTTACGAGCCTAGAAGCACTAATGTCTCGGTGTGCTGGTATGGAGGAGGTACGATTTGGCAACAAACTGGGCGGATACACAAAAAGTGCCAAGTGGGTCCGAATTGTAGTGGCATCGGGACAGACGGCTCATCGAGGGCACACTCCAATCAGAATTATAGTGTACAAATTCCGTGCGGCTTTGTGGCAGAACGTGGCGAGTCGATCATGAGCGTGGGAGAAGGGCCTTGCGAGTGTGTGTGTGTGTGTGTGCGCTTTGCTACCGAGGTCAACTTCACAGAGATGGGCGCGACTCCCACAGTGGTGAGGGTGCCCAGCCTTTGCGGATGGAGCTGGTGTTCCCAGCACTGTAAGCCCGAATGGCGGTGCGGATTATGAGCCACAGGGTGCCTAGGGGAATCGCGCTGAAAGGCCACGAGAGGGTGTTAAGATCTGGGGCTCGGAGTCTGTTGCCCCTTTGTGGTGGGGGAGGGCGGCACGACTGGCTCCTGGCCTCCCGAGTCTGGATTTCTGGGTTGCTGCAGGTCTCCATCGAGTCTGCCGGCGAGCATGGTCTATTGCCTGCGGTAGAGGCTCCGAAGGCCATGAGGGGAGAAATTGATCAAATCATTAGCTCCAGACAGACTTAATGTGACTTAACCGAAACCCCGGCACGAAGGGCGAGGAGGTGCGGCACCCAGCTTGTGCAGTGAACGCATCGTGAAGCCAGCACAACAGGGCGCCAGATGACCAATGTGCACGTCCACGGTATACTATACTGTACGTACGTGCTGTCAGTGTATGTCGGTTGTCTGTCTGTCTGTCTGTCTGTCTGTAGGCAAGTCGACCGTGTATGGTCGTTGTTGCGACTATGTTCGTCGCTGTCGTTGCTGTTTCGGTGGTGTCTTTTACGGTTGCTGTTTTTGGTGCGGTTGTGGTTGTTGTTTTTCTTACAAGCCTTACTCTTCGTGTTAAGAGTATTGTTGTTACTTGTGTTCTTCTTCTTCTGGTCGTGGTTGTTGTTGTTCATAGCAGCAGCGGAAAACCTGCTTGCGCTGTGTGAGCACTCAGCTTGTTGGCTAGTGTGAGCCACTTCCATCGTTGTTGTGATGTTAATGCGTCCATTTATCAGTGCGACGATGGTTGCCTTCATTGTTCATCATCAGTGCCGCTGTCATTATCATTAGTGCCATAATCATTCTCAACAACCTCAGTGAGTTGCCACATTGCGTCGTATTGTTATCAGCTAGGACCGGACCCCCTCGGCAGCTTCTGGGCCGGGCGATGCCCAGCAGCTTGGTGCCGAGATTGCCGCGAAAGACTTGGTTATGGACATCACCGCAGACCAGGACACTTTGGCGAATTGAAGTCAGATTCGAAATTTCAAACACATCACAGACTCAGCTTTGTTATGGCCACTCTCTAGTTGTTCTCTAGTTTGCTCTCGGCTCTGCCCTCAGAAGTAGGCAGGAGTCTGACCGGCCCACCTTCATGCATCTGCTCCCTGTGTCTTTCGGTGACTGAAGAAATTGTTTAATTATGTGTCGCCGAGGCATTGCGAGGTCATGAGGTCGAGGGTAGTTCGTTCTGTGGGCCTGTTCGTCTATTGCAGCTGCACAACCAGGAGGCCTTGCCAGCAGAGGTCGCCGATGCACTCAAGGCCTAGCTCTGGGCCAGTTTCGTATTTCTTACGGGCAGAATCCAGCAGCCTGTACGTTGTTGTGGTTTTACTTGTATGCATGTCGGAGGCAGCGGCAGCTGGAGCGGCAAGCTCTGCAACGGGTTCCATCGAAGGCAGTGAGTACTTGTAGCAGTATTTTTCTTAAAATGCTCCAAACCACAGTCCGTTGTGCTTCACATTCAGGGCTCGGGATGTCTCGGGTGGCATGTCGCAGGCACCGCGTTGGCACATGGCTCGGATGGCACAATGACGGCCTGTGGCTTGGAACAGCCAATGCCTTTTCTGCAGAGGGTTGTCCTCCACCGGTCGTGCAAATCCCAGGTCGCTGAGCAGCTTGCAGCCGCAGCTACAGCAGCCATGCAAGTGCCGCCGTCCACAGCTGCAATGGAGAGCGAGACCTCACAGGCCGGTGACTCGCGGCCACATGTGCAGCACAAGGTGCCAAACGAGTTTCGCTCGAATGGCCCCGGCACCTGCGAAAATGAACTTCAGAGCATTTCACAGATCAACGAAATTATTTCAATTGCCGGCCGCTTGATGCGCAGGACCTCCCCCCGATGGCCGCGGTCCTGGTGTCTTTCACTGTGTTTGAGCTCAGGGCGGAGCTGTTGCCCCTCTATGCCCTTTATGAGCTTATCTCGGACGACAACCTGATATGGCTTCACTGTGCTTTACTTGTCGCTTGTTGCGCTTCTTGCTGAGGTCAGCTTCCCCGTAGTGGGGGGTACGCCAACAGTGGTGGGTTGCCCAAGACTCCTGCCTGAGAGTCGCACACTGTTGTACCTACAGTCACCAGCGTTATGTTGGTTCGGGCTTCATTGCACTTGATTCGTTGGCTCAAGCAGGTCTCCGTCGAGTCTGCCGGAGATCATGCTGGCCTGGCACTCGGTGATAGCAGTAACGAGAAGCGCGCTTCCCAGCACCCTGCTGGCTTCTGCTAGCCTTCACATGCCTTCACGACAGCGTGCTCAGAGCTACTTCTGCATCTTAGTGCACTGCGACAGGCGAGGCTGCAGTGGTCCGGGCCCTTGCCAAGTACTTCAAAGAGATAGGAAGAGTCACTTAAGCCATCTTAAGCCGTATACGCCCCATTGTGTGGTGCGACGAGGCGGTGGCAGAGGCCCAGCACTTACAGAACCCCATTCCCCCTGGTCTCCCTTTTGTTTGGCCTCTGGTGTACGGAACGGATGCTGTCCCCTTCCCCGTCACGGAATAATGTGTCTTTTGAAAATTGAAGCTCCTTCAAGCTGCCGCCCAAGGTTCCACAACACTCTGCCTCTGAGATCCTTGCCTCCGAGCTCCTGCCAGGGCTCAAGAGGGTCTAGGATAGTTTAGGAATTTAGGCTTTGAGAGTATTTTTGGAAGGATGAGGAGGTGATGACTGTGTGAACATGCCAAGGTGATGCGCGTGCTTTAGGTTTCAGGCTAACGGCTAAAGCTGTCACGTGACGGGCGTGGACACACAGGGAGCTTAGGACTTAGTTCGCATTTCGAACCCTGGGCAGGCCAAGGCCAGTTTCTGCTGGGGTGACGTCTGCTGCGGAGGTGCGGGGGTGGGTCGGCAATTGAGAGAGGCAGCGGGAGGCTGAAGGACTGTATGGTTTTAGGCACCGTTTTGGTGCGGTTTGGCAGTCTTGTTCGAATGTTTGGATGAAGCGGTGTTTGCAGCAAGATTTTAACATGGCATCGACTGTGGGGCCCAAGGGGTCTAGGGCCGGTCCTGTACAGTGCTTTATCAGGCTGGTTGCTGCCAACCCTAAACCCTAAGCCCTTGCCCATAAATCCTTGGAGCCTTCAGTGGAGCGGCTTTCTGCAGATCCTGACGTAAAGTTTGGAAGCTTGAAGCCCATGAAGCCCCGTGTGCCTCGAGCCTTCCAGCTGCCCAACATCCCCACGACTTTTAAGTTATTAAGCGAACAGAGGATAAGGCGCTGAGGTGCAACTCAAGACCCACGCATAGTGAACCCCAAGCTTTGCACCCAAAAACCACGGGGACCAACGCACTACAAACAATGGGCGACACTAAATGTATGTTATAGTGTATGTCCCTGCATCCCTGCCTGCACACGGCAAAAGCTCTTCGGCCGTGACCGGAAAGTAGGTGGTCAGCTCTTCGCACAGCGACATCTATGAAGGCCAGAAGTCAGGTAGAAGGGTAGCAGGGAGCATTTTCGGATTGAGAAAGTTTGAGGCTACGGTTGCTACGGAGCTGCTTTCAGCTTTGAGGGTCATGTAGCCCCGCTGCCTAAGGTTGAGGAGAGAAGCCGATGCTTTGAGGCTTGAGGCCGCTTGAGTTCCACAGGGGTCTCAGTCCGCAGGACAGCTGACCGAGACGGTGGTTCATGACATCATTGCAGAGGTGGCCAAGGAAGCTGCCGTGGCATGTCGTGGCATGGTGAGGGAGAGTCAATCTGGAGAATCTGGCACCAGCAAAGTACTCACCAAGCACTGCCTTTCGTGTCTGACCACCGCATCGCGAACATGTCCAGCCCTATCATGGGTTATCAGGGATGCATTTGTGAACACGGGTTTGTGGAAGCAGAAGAGCGTTCACTTTGCTTCACAAACCGCGAAGAATCCTCGGGGCTTGGCACATGCTCAGAAACCCAAGTGGACCAAGCTGCACGAAGCAGCCCCCGAGAGTCTGCCCGAGAGTTTAGTTTAAGCATAGAATCTCACACGTTCCCCCCCCCCCCCCCCCCCCAAAGTTACTTTGGACTGAGGAGCCTGCGGCCGGCGCGTCGCGGCCCCAAAGTTGCTCTCAAGACGTCTCATGACATCTCAGAGTCTCATGGTTTGAGGTTTCCTCTTTGAGAGCTTTGTACATCTATGGTATATAGAGCCTATGGCGCACGAAACGGAGCTGGGTTCATAAGGAGTTGTCGGGGTTTGGACAGGAGATTTCTGGGCTCGCAGGAGCTCATGGATCCTGTGTGCACGGTTTGAGACTCTGGGGCTTCACGGGTAAAGGGCCAGGCAGGCTGTGACGGGATGGGATGGGATTCTGCATCGAAGGTTCGAGTTGCGCAAAATCTCGACACCAAAGCACCTTGCCCGTCAGTTCCTCAACCCTACACACGTGTTTTTAAACCGTGCGTGGGTCCGTTTCCGAAGGAACAGCAGCATTGGATTTCTGGGGCAGGTGGCCTTGTAAGGCCTTTGTTACCGAATTGAACGGTGTCTCTTAGTGTCTCATTTGTCAGGCGGTCCTCTCTGGTTTACTCGTCCGGCACACGGCTGACCAGAGCTGCGGGATGCTGGGGTTCCAGTTCAAAACTCCCCAGGTTGAGGTCTCCATCTCGGATCTTCGATCACGGTTTACGGAGTTTAGGATAGCTGTGGGCTTCCCGGTCTGTAGGCAAGGGGCCGGCTACGCATGCCTTAAGGTCTGTGCTTCGGCACGAGGCATTTGACTTCGTACTTCGTTGTGTGCTGCAGGGACTGGCAGGGACTGTAGGACTTAGTTGCGGGGACACCGAACCTAACTCCCCTGCAGGGGCGAGTTCCCTCACTAATCATGGACTGTGCATTCCCTGCTGTAGTCAACTGAACAAGCCTAGCCCTATGCAAACAGGCAAAACAGCCCCCGTGCTGCACCAAGCCCCCACAAAGAACGAATTCAGGCGCGCGTGATCCCAACGGAGCTAAGTTGCAGGTCGTCGCTGGCGGAGATTCCTGCGGTGATCCCTGAAGCGCGGGGGCTGGGCTGGAAGCTGTTGAGGGCCCTCCAATTAAAGGTACAGGGACCCAGGATGTATACGGACACAGGATGATCCGGTGAATTGAATGCTGAGGCTATGAACAACATGCTTTCGAGGTTCTCTCCGCCTCGAGTGTACCAGACTCCGGACAAATCATCGATAGTTTCCGCATCTCCGAATCAGTGTTTCATTCATACTTCCATACTTCCGATTCGATTTCCAAAAGAAGCTAGCTTCCTCATCCACCAGTAATTAATTCTGTTGTTCAGTAGTATCAGTAGTACTGCTTTCCGAGTCATGGTTCCTGAGGAGCAGGGCACGGCTGAAGAGGCAGCAGCGCTTCCCGCCGCTGCACCCGAAGAGTCCGCCACCGTGGCGCCCCCGCAGTTCAGATTTTCAGGGCGAAAGTGCTTCAGAGTTTCGGCTCGGAGTTCAGGATTTGTTGGATCTCTTGATTGGGTAGCTTAGCATCTTAAGCTTCAGCTGTTGAGTCCATCCTCTTACACAAGTGTGCTGCGAGATGCTGCGAGCCCTCAATGCCATGGAACCCCAAATACACTGGAGCGGGTCTCAGTAGGCTCCCTATGATTCTTTCTTCTTTGGACTCCAGACCCTCAACTGTGTTCTGCCCTGCCCTTTGGCTCTTCTGATTCAAGGTCGCTCGGGAGCCGGCCTTAGCGCAAGAATCGGATGGCTCCGAATGACGGCTTTCAGACGTCTCAAGATTAAATTAAAATATGGGTTGTCATTGTAGTCTAGTGTCTCCTGCAGTGGGCGTTTTGGTTTTCAGGAGCCACCCAGCGATCCAGCACCAGATCCGGAACAGCCGCCAGAGGCGGCACCCGTGGAGGCGAAAGCCGAAAGCTGTGGGGGATTGCCAAACTTTGACATGGGTTGCGCTTTGCGAACGTGTCACTTGCCCAAAGGGGCCTAAACGCGCATTGCCTGGGCTCCTCAGCTCCTCGCTGCACTCCGGTCCCAGGCCCTGCCTCAGCCGCAGGAGAAGGCGGCTTTCTGCCCGGGCTTGTATAAGACTTTTTCAGGAACGCATCAAAGCTTGATCCTCGAATGACTTCTGGCCGATAAGCCATCTGGAAAACCCTGCAGCGTGAGGCCGAAGAGCCCGAGGAGCACCATTGAGTGTGTTTTTGGAGGTGTTCCAGGGGATCTTCAGGGTGCTTAGAGAATTGTTCAAAGGATTTGAGGGGGTTTGGGGGCTCACAGGGATTTCTTGGTGAATGTTTGCCAAGTCGAGTCCCCAAGTGCTCCGCTCCGGACCGGGTGCTGTGGTAGTCGTGCCCCCCGTTTGTGGCAATGGCAAAACTCAGCGGCACAGTTGGGTGTTGCGCTCTGGTGCGTTCCGTTGGGCGTTCATCGTTCTTATTCTGCAGGAGGATGCCGAGGCCATTCAGGATCGGGTCCACGAGGTGCGATTTGCATTGCAATGAACAGCCTTTCCTTTAAAGTAGAAACCTTGAACCACCGCAAGACCCTGTCGCAAACTCAACCTTGACACGCGGCCATGCATTGCCAACCAGTGCTATGAGCCCTTAACAGACCTGAGAAGCTCCGGTTGCGGCTGCGAGGTCCTCGAGGAGAACAGCCGACTCCGCTCTGAGAACATGGCTCTGAGAGTCCATCCCTCAGACATCTTCTCATCTCTTGTTTCTTCTATTTTCTTCTCCCTCTCTTCATTTAACTTCATTTTCTTCTCTTCCTTTCAGCTTGGCTGGCGGGATACGTGCAATCGGCCCGATATCGGTTCAAAAAAGGACATTTGCAGCATTTGCAGTGAGACCGTGGCAAGCCGGAGTCCCTGAGAGGTGGAGCTCGACGCGCTGCTCGCAATGGCTGTGGCTGCCCCCTAAGGATCAGCTGCGCCATGTTACGGCCACTCCCTGGGATGTCGTACTCACTGGCTGTCACTGCCTCATTGCGTAAAAACTCAGACGCCGGAAGCTACGCCGCCGGGAACTGCGAAGTGAGTTTCGCCTGTCGGATCGCCACGTGAAGGCCAAAAGCCCAAAAGCTAGAATTCCGCAAAGCGCTTCTCTGCTCAGCACTTTTTATGTGGCAGGTCCTCGGCAAATTGTGCTGAATTCAGTTCTGCCAATACAGCCCCCAGAGCCCCCAGAATCAATGGCGACTACGTCAGACCACTACTATACTCGACCAATTGATCTAATGCACCGCGCGAGCGCAAGCTGCGCTTACCGAGCTGTCCGAAGGATGGCTTGCCGTTTCACCTGGCTAGAGTCCCAGTGGCAACGATATTTTACAAATTGCTAAGGTTGACTGAGGCCTTCAGGCCTAAGCATGTCTTAGCCTAAGCATGTGACTCGGCTTTGGGGCTGCTTGCATCGCAAGTCTGCTCACGGAAGCTTACGTGGCTGTAGAGTTGTTGACGGCAGCAAGCTCAGTGAAACAATCATAGAGAGAACATGCAAGCCTAACACGTGTCTCCAAGCATGCATCACAGGACGAGCTACTGCTTGGCTGTCTCGTCCAAAGGTAACTAGGCCGAACTACAGCACCAAACCCCTCAGTGCTGCCGAAGGTGGCTGGCATGTGGACGGTCAACTCGCCATACCAGTACCCAGCTAGCACCAGCACCAGTGCAACAAACCCAACGAAGACTACGTCGCTGTGAGAGGTGACTGCGGTCCCACGGAAGTCCTTGCAAGGGTAGAGCTTCGCTCCAGAAAAAGGGAGCGGATTATTTCTGCAAATATCTGTCGCTTCATTTGTGAAGGGTTCATGAAGTTCATTGAAGTTCCGTGTGCCGCGAAGACATGAAATTTTGCAGCGACCGTGGCCCGGTGAAGCAGCGGCCACTTTAAGACTTAGGCCGAGGCGAATGAGAGCGAATGCGGCCCAATGACCCCCCCCCAGAATGTTTTCATGTTAAAGATTCATCCCAGTATAACATCAGCTCACATGTACCACCTCCATGAAGACTGGCGATGGCCACTGTCGGCGCAATGCCAGTACCTCCGCTGAGGCCATGCCACCCTGGCACGATGTGTTTCAGCGCACGATTTGGCAGGTTCATGAGACATCACGAACCGCAAAGGCTGCATTGGAAGGCAAACGTTTGAGTTCTCTGAAATCTCCTGAAGCCTCTCAGCGGGTTTACCACTGGTTTATCGGTTTACCATATAAGGACTATAGAGATCGACAGCAGCAGCCGCAGGCAAGAATGCACCTGAAACACGTCTTGAAGAAGCGGTGAGAGAATCCTTTACCAGCTATACCGAATAGATAGCATGGCATCATGTTTAGCTGTGGTAGTTACTAGGTTGGACAGCGATCTGCTGCCATGCGTGCGGTTGGATTGCTGCTCTTCATAGCTGCGCAGCTGACTGCAGTGCTTGCAGCTACAGAATCCAACAGCACGGTCCCTTGTCGAAAGAAATGACATCCAACCATGGTTCGCTCCGATAGCAATTGGTGCAAGATTCGTCCATTTTGAGCTCGTACTCCTACAAGATCCCACGAGGTCAATGATGCGCCATCTGAGATATCTGAGGATACCCATGGAGACGGCGATGCCGAGTCGCACGGAGAACATCATACCCATCCGCACGTGGCAATCTTGCTGCCTGGCCTGAGAAGATCTGAGAAGCATTGTGAGTTGGAGCGCCTGCAAAGATCAAGTGTGGCTTCGTGAATCTTCGTGAGACCTCTAAGCCTTGTCCAAATTGAACCCTTTTCGCTCCTATTCCGATGGCTTACGGATTTCAGCTGTGACTGCTGTATAGCACTGAGGTTTCCCTTCCTCGCAATGTTGACAGGTGCCGCAGCTGCCATGGAATTACACATACTGACGTGCAAGGGCTGAAAGGGGTACGGCAGACAGTACTGTATCTTCCCCCCGTGCATCCAAACACATCCTGGGAGGTATCTCGATCACGCATCTGGGCTCACGCTGCGCAGTGGTAGCCGCGATACCCTATACGGTGTCTCTTCTGCGTCTCGGCAAATTCGGTGCGACGGGTCCAAAGTCCGAAGTCCGAACCGAGTCGAACCGAGGCAGTGCCTGGAAGTGCTTTGAGTAACACAGACTTTGTGACTATTTGTGACTATTTGTGACTTTTGAGGATTGCCGGCGTCCTCCTTGGAGCAATGCACATCGAGAGTTCTCAAGGCTTGGTCAAGATCTCCCAGACTTTCAACTTCTAGGGCCCTATGATCTGCGTTTTCAGTCCGAATAGTCCGAATACGTTCAAGCTTTGTAGCTCGTGATGCCCTGTGTTGTATATGTAACATAGTTTATGGCCCACCAGCGTCGACCTCGTGTCAGGCCTAGGCACACTGTCTGAGAGCATTGCGATGTGGATGGCCATCGAGCCTCGGGTCGCGATTGTGCTTTTTGTGTCGCATATCGATAGCACTTCTTCCGAGGATCCGCATGTGATTTTGTATTCTTTCCTCCCGGTCCTTCTCTTCGGAGATGCCATGTCCATTGCATCTTAGCAGCACATTTCTGGTAGCGACGGGTGGCAATACCGGTTTCTTGCTACCTCCAAGAGACCGCATGTACTGTTCTCTCTGTGTATTCCGTGTCCACCTTGCATCACCTTGCCATCCAACAGCCATTGCCACAGCCGAGGTATGGCATGATTTCCGCCGGACAGCCTTGCAATGTGCAATTTTAGCAGGCCAGATGTGCTGTCCATCAGGAGCTAAGCTGCTATGTGAGATTGAAAAGATCTTGGGCGGAAGCATCTGATTTGGTCTCTGCAACAGAATTTCAAAGCAGAATGGCTTCAGCTTTGATCTCAGGGTTCAGGGGCGCTTGGGGATGCTTTCTCTGGGGAGCCGGTCAGTGTTTCAGACTTTGTGACGAGGCCCTGGTGTTCTTATCGGCACAGGGCTGATGTTCATAGTTTCCCGGTACATCTTCCCCTACGGCCACTCGGACTGAGAAGCTCTCCAGGAGTTCCTGGCCTAGCGTACATGATTGTACATGCATTGGCATGCCTGGGCATGCCCGCAACTTCTGATTCGGGGCTGGGCTTTGCAGATGTCATAGTCTAAGCATGCCACCAGCAATCATGAAAACGCCCCTACTTCTCCATTCCCTGCCCGAGCCCCGGAAGTACATATAAGTACATACTATCCAGGCCTATCCAGACTAACGCAGGGCGTGCGCTCGCTGGCCTCGCTACGTGAGACCCACAAGATGAGACAGTCTTGTCTTTGGATTATTTGGGAGGACTGCACAGCACCTCAGCAACCCTTGGGGAGTGTTATGCTTTATTACGCTTTCATTGTCGCAGCGAGCCCAGGCTGGGGGGACTTTGAATGCGCTGCCTTTGCAAGCGTACTGGCGGCCACGGATCCGGTAGCAGTTGTGGGCCTCTTGAAGGAGAGGGTCTTAAGGTCGAAGCTTCTCTGTGGCGCTGTCCTCGGGCTGCAAATGCGCAACTCTTCACGTGCTCCACAGAGATGTCCTAAGGGTTGGACTAGTACAAAGTGTCCTTGCCTTTCGGGAACTAGACTAGTACTACTTAATAAGCATGAGACAGCCTCTGACTCTAAAGCGGTCTTGCATCGGTTCCGCGAAAGGCTGGCGAAAGATACTTCCGAAGACTTTACGCCTCGTTTTGCTCTAGTGACTCTAGTGTTGAGCTGCAGTTCCCTTGCACAAGTCCCGCCATACAACACCTCCAGGGTTGTGCTTTTGTTCAGATACTCCTCGTGAACGGGCAGCGAGCTTTTGAAGGCCCCAGCCCAGCCCTTTTCGTGAGACCATGACAGCTAGTCAGGTATTACCAGCAGTTGGCAGATGGTGCACCTGCCCGAGAAGCCTGCGCGGCAAGAAACGACCAGCCAGCGCACCTTATTCCAGAACTCTAAACGCTAACTCCAATGTGCTAGCGCAGCCACGAAAGAGGAAATGCTTTCAGCGATGAATGTCAATGTCCGCATGGAGGAATATTGGACAACCATTAGGTCTCGAGCCTGATCTACCGATGGAATCGGATGTTCCCGTGCTGCTGCCAGGAGATGGGGGCAAGCCGAGTGCTCACCATGCAAATAGCTGGAGAATCCCTTTTGAATGCTACCTAGCTGCAGTGTGCTGCAATTCTGGATAGCATGTTGTTGTTGAATTGAATTCTGTCGAGCATCTCCTAACGTTCGGCATGAAGTGTGTTGACTACCCTGTACAAGGATGGTGTTGCCATTGTCGTGTGGCTAGTCTTCTTCGACTTCATGAAAGGACAGACATGCCGACAGAGTAAAGCGGAGAATCCTCGGCCCTCAGCTGAGAGATCTGCTGGGATCAGGTGGTCCACAAAGCTACACATTGATGACAATACGACGTGTGCCGTCTATTTCAGAGCAACTGGTTGTGCTTTTGCAGAGGTGTACTAGCTGTGTGGACGTATCAACGGTTATGGTATGTTATGGTCGATCAAATCAGGTCTTCATGTAGGGCATCAAAGGTCAAAGCCGGGGTGTCTCTATCAACCAGAACAGGGGAACTAACAGAACAGCAGCGGGTTCTACGCCGCACTTGGAAGAGCAACATCTTGGATCTAACATGTCGACGCGCATCTACGATGCTGTCTTGTGAGTCTTGCATCATGGTACGTCTGCATGGTCGCGGCTGTTGGCTGTGGTCTAGCGACATGGCAGGAAAAGATGCAGATGGTGGCACCATCATTGGTAGCTTTTTCCGCATCCCTACTGCAACCATCCCGGTTTGGTTTACGATGACAAGCTGTTTCTGGATCGTTGCACAGACCCTTGAAAACTGTATGCGCTGTGTAAGCGTAAGCATCAACAGGCCAGCACATAGTCCCCTCCCTGATCAGGCTTAGCTGCTGGCGGTACGGCTTTCGGAATGCTTTGTGGATTGGTGGGCGCACGTGCCTTTAGCTGACACGAGTGCTTGGCCGACAGACTAGCTGCCTGTGCTGCTCTTGCTTCAAGGTTGGATGTCGCTTGCATCTGACCGCCTTGTCCACTCAGACGCGTTGGTGCAGGTCGGGGATCTTGGAGCATAGCATAGCACAGCTATGCAAGGCGTCAAGCAAGCAGAGCTCCCAAGCACTTGCCCTTGAGCATCCTTGAACTGTAATCTTGTTAGATCTTTGCCCTGCGTTTGGATATATGCAGGTAGCTGTGACAATCACTGTCGCGTACCTGGCCTTTTTTATCGGCGCAACTAGGCCGCTCTTGCAAATGGCGCAGAGCCGCAAATAGGAGTTGGGAGTTGCTGATTTCAAGGGCAGCACGCTACCATTGTCCCAAAGTCTGTGAACCCCATGCCTGTCAAGTCAATGCTTCTTGAAGTGGACATAAGGAGAACGAGCTGAAAGTTAGTGGGGTGCTGGCGGCCATTTTCGCAGCATTGATGATGAGCAAGTATGCGAAGCCCTTGGTCTGCCACAAGGAGAAGCGTGATAGCAGATGTCTCAATGTTAGTGCTTCTCTTTTCCAGAGCAGCAAGAAGCAGCCTCATTGGACTTGCTGCGCTGACCATTGAGCGCTTGAAAGCTTCTCACCAAACGCCCAAAACAGCTTCACAACTGCAGTACAAGTTGTAGCGCCGCGAGTTTTTGGGGATGCAAAGTGCTGTTGAATGTCTGATTTCTGTGTGATCTGTTAAGTCAACAGTAGCCTGCAGGATGGCATGGAGGCGGTGTGGCACGCCATGGAGTACTTCGGAAACACAATACTCTTTGTCCTATGCGGGCTCTTTGCGTATGAGTCGTGCAAGAAAGTGGCCTGGGCAGACTTCGCCTGGCTTATATTGCTCTACATACTTGCAACTATGGCCCGGGCTCTCATGGTTGCAGTCCTCTGGCCAGTTGTGAATATGGTGGGTGGCTCCGATGTCACGTTGCTCGGCGGCACACCAGTGTTTTGGAGGACGCTGACGAAGTCTCAGAACCATGCCATGTGTTCTTAGTTTCTTGTACTGGACCTGACTACTTCGGACGCTTTTCTGCTTCCAGGAAAACAACCTGGAAGGAATGCACCGCTCGAAGCCTAGCTTGCATTGTTCTAAGCTGAGCCACTGTGGGGGGCATCTATTTGGTGGGTCCGGATGGACTTCTGTATGTGCATGGACACGGTAAAGGCGCAAGACGCTTGTTGCATAGACTTTACTCCACCAAGTCGATAGGGCTGAAAGATGCTGAAAGCCGACAGTGCCAAAGTGACAGAATTGCAGGGCGAGAGTTCAAAGTCTCGAATTCAGACACCTGTTTAACGAGGTGCCCTTACTTGGTAGGAAAGCCCTTCCTCCTTGAAAACCGCTCCGACGCATGCAGTACAAAGCAGCGTTGTTCATGGGCGTTTGTCCATGTGAACCGTGTGTGTTTCCACACGGAAGCGTGCCAGAACTCGAGGGATTTCACGTTGGATGACAATGAAAGGCATCGCAACAGTCATTCAGCAAGTCAACGTGCTTGTGCATAGATCAGTTCAAGACTCGAGGAATTTGACGTCTTTGCACTGGCCAAAGCGAACAAAAACCAAGAACGAGACACGCGCGCACGCAAAAACACAGGAGCAGTTTCGATCGCAGGGAACAACAGAAACAAGCATATGTGATCACACGTGCATGTCAAAGTGTCCGTGCTTTCGCTGGAAGAAGCAGAAACTCGAGGACAAACACGTTCTCACAGAGTTTGTTCGGTGGCTTCCCGGTTTTTGTGGTTGAAGTCTAGGGATTGGACTTGCGCAACTTGCGCTACTTGGACTGCTTGGAGCTTGGGGCTTATCCTCGGGGCTCATTCTGTGAGCGCTTTTTGGTCTAAGGCTAAGGCTAAGGCTTGGCCTTGCTGTTTTGGGGGGGCTGAGAGGTGTTTACAGGTGTTTACAGTGTTTCGGGCTTTTGCGGGCTTTTGGTTGAGATTTAATTTTGAGGTTTAAGGCTTTGGGCTTGCACTTATTCGGGCTTCGAATTTTGGTTTTGCTCTTTTAGGCCTGGGGCGGCCAAAACTAGCCTCGGCAGTCGAAGCACAGCACAAGGAATGCAGCTTTCGGGCTTGGGGAGGTTCAGAGCTGACTTTCATGTGACTTTCACAACTACTAGGGCATGCCGTGATGCATCACGCGTGATGCTTGCAAACGCTTTCGGGCGCTTGCGGACGCTCGCGGACGCTGAACGCACGGATTCTCGCTGTTATCATTCGCAATGGACACTTTTAGTCCAGCTGGTTGAGAAACCCAACCCACACAAGCAAAGTGGCTTGGGTTGTGGGCCAAGTATAAAAGGCTGTCTGAGAAAGCAGAAGAAGTATACCCAAGAACTTTCGGGTTGAATGCAAGATCCGCTATAGTCTAGCTGGTTAGGATGCTTGTTCTCACCCGAGCGACCCGGGTTGGAGTGTTGGTGGCGGAATGATTTGAGGGCCGGGTGTCTTAGACTATCTTGCACTCAACTCGAAACGTGCTGTTTACTGACACATTGGACATATACTTGGCCCACACCAGGCCAGTTTGTTGGTGAGCCGAGTTTCCAATCTGCAGTCCACTGAACTGCATTTGGGAACAGCTGTCCTGTTTTTTGAGGTCATGATTTGGGGCGGGCTGCGCGGCGCAGTGGGCCTGGCTCTGGCCTTGTCCATGAGAAGCCTGGCATGCCACAGAGAGCGTTGTGGAATGTTGTGGAGAGGCCAAATGACCCTGCCTTTCTGAGCATATGTTTTCCTGCTGGCATGCGTGATGAAGGAAATGAGCTGATCGCGCAGGGCAAGACGGAGACAGCAGACCGAATGGTGGCCTGGTGTTGGAGCATAAAGAGGATGTGTCAGTTGATCCCTTTTGCAGCTTGCTTCAGACTGCTTGCCATTTGTACTGGCGATCATCTACACTGAGGTCTTCTTCGTTTCTGGCTTTGCAGCCTTGACCTTGTTGATGAAGCTGGGCGTTAGCAGCAGCCGTTAGCAATGTCGAACCCCCAAGAGTGCGGCACAACAACCTTTATGATCAGTAGGGGTTTCGCAGTGATCGAAAACATCTTTGCATCATAGGGCCGTAGTTAGCGTCCAGTGTCCATCTCGCGTCGCACGTGCCACTAAGTGTATGCACTCTCTCCACAAAGTCGTAGCTATGCTCCTATGCGGTCCATTATGATGAAGGGTTACCAAGAATCAAGAGCTCGCTGCAGAAAGAATGGCAGCTACCCTAACGGTTGAGAGCAATCATCTACCTTTTTCCTCTGCACCAACATTGGTCAAATTGCATTTCTCGGAAGCCGAGACAAAAGCACTCAAAAGTCTTAAGCCGCAATTGAGATTTGTTAACATATAAACACGCCCTTCTTACCGGTCCGGCCCAGAAATGCAACGACCTGTGGAGCGCTGCTGCAGCGCTTGGAGCTCACGAAGCCCCCGGAGGCCCGGGGGTTGAGAGATGGTTTCGGGTTCAGACGTGTTCGGGTTTCAGGGGTGTTTTGGCGTTCTCGTGCAATTCCATCTAAGGAGTAATTTAACGCTGCGCGACGCGCCTCGGCCGGGGAAGGCAGAGCGTTGAGGTGCGCTTAGTGTGCTGGAGCTTTGACAGGCTTCATGTCACGAGTCCCTCATGGGGCTACTGCGGTTCCACGCAGGTATATAATCATATATATATATATACTTATTCATATATGGAAAACTATAAATATATACATCTAAACCAGGATGATGTATAGTGCACGACCCTATGCCCCATACCCTAAACCCCAGCCGGACGTTGTGGGGGTGCTTCAAGCCTCCACCAAAGACTTGTATGATCGTTCGTTGATCGGAAAAAGTCTGATCGTGCAACATCTCGTCCAAGTAAGTCGCGAGGGCACGCTGACATCAACAAGCACGCCGCCCCGAGCCCCATGTCGGTTTCACCTGTACTTGGCAAGGCATGCGACGTGTCACGCGTCCTTCCAGAGGAGTTGGTGGCGCCGTGGTCGGGGCGGGGGCGGGTGGTGTGGTCCCATGTTTGGTGAGGCCCGTGCCCCGTGGCGCTAATGCATCGTCCGCTCCGGTGCAATCCGTGCAGCGGGTGTTGGGGAGGGGAATAGAGGTGGGGTACCGCAAGCTACCAAGGCACCTGCGGCCCGAGGCCTTGGGCGGATTTGAGCTGGTGAGGGCTTAGGGAAGTTTTGTGGCCGTTCAGGTCATAATAGAAGCGCGCAGTCTTGTCTAAGCTGTCGCCCGCAGACAAGAACTAAGGTATGGGCGCTGGGGAAGGGGGTCCAATAGCAGCGAGAACGACAATGACAACGAGAACCACTTGTGCTTCTGCTGGTAGTCAATCTGTACAGACTAGTGAAAGCTCACACATGACTCGTCGTACGCGCCTACAGCTTGGGTTTGAGTGTTGCTTCTGTGTTCGCCTCCCTTTTGGGCGGGGGATCCCGCTCGCCTTTGGCGGTGCCACATGGTGCCACCCGCTCATGGGGTCTCCAAACTCGTGATGGATGTGCCCTCGTCCCGGGGTTGTTTGAGTGATCAACCTGCATACACGGCTGGGCTTGCGCATCTCCTTTCTCATGACACTCCGGGTTGCCTTTCCAGAACATTCCAGAGCCATCCAACTCGCCGCCCCAGAGTCGGCGGATTCGCACGGGCTGGTGTCATGACACTTCAACCCTGAAAAAGGGTTTGGTTTTCAGGGTGGGTATTCGGAGCCTCTTTCAGAGGGGCGGAGGGGAGGTGGAGGGTGTGGGGCGGTTATTCATTACTGCAACACAGACTGCCACACCAGAGGCACAGGTGGTCATCCTCACCACGCTGAGGAAGGTTTTGCACTTTGGCTGCAATGTCCAACCTTCCGAGCCCGCGTCAGCAAACTCAGTGATCTCAGTGACGTGAGAAAGGAGGTTAGTCGGAGAACAGCAAAGTGCGACCACTGCGCACCCTTTTCCAGGGTGTCGGTGTCGAAGAAGGCGTTCCAAGATCGACTGGCGGAGGATGGCCGCTTTAAGGCTGTGCACCAGTGGCTTTGCTGCGCTATGCTGGCTATGCTCCTGAAGGTTTGCTCTCGACTACAGCAGCTTACTCATAGTGCTAAGGCAAGAACTGGATGCACTGCTTGAGCACCTCGACGAGGAGCTTTCCCACCGTGGTCATGAGCAACACTCACAGGACTTCCACAGACTTTTGTCTCTTTTGTTTGCTTCTTGCCAGGCTCTGCTCAGCGAATCGTCCTTTTATGTCCCTCTCCAGGAAGCAGAGGTGCAAGACCACACGCAGCTGGTGGGCAAGTCTACGGCAAGTTTCCTGCAGCAGAGTTATCAGTTAGCATTGCGTCGAAGCTGTGTTTTGTCATTTGTCATGTCAGCTCTTGACAAGGTTCCAGTGACAACACGGAGGTAGTGCCCGAAGCAGATGATGTATTGCAGGCTGAAGGGTAGAAACATAGAAACAAAAGGAACCGCATTCTCACTGTCTCACTGATTCGCCGACATGCCAGGAGACTTCTGTGGAGCCCTTGTCGGCCAAAGTGGCAGAGACAGGCCGAGCCGTTCATCGTTGGTGCTTAGCTTCAGACCTTGCGTTCAAGAGATGGTGTCAAAGCACAGGCAACGGTTGGGATCCCTAAACCCTCTGAAAAACCTGGTAAGTTCCAGAAAAGCATAGAAAAGCCCAGTCGGCCTGGAGATGTCCCTTTCAGGCACCACGGAGGAGGAGCAGGGCACCTCCTCGGATCCGGCCAATGCGAACACTCAGGACACTTCGTGGGAGGACGCTTCGTGGGGGTGACTTCTGAACCTTTCTGGCGACTGCAAAATCATGAAATTTTTGTTCTACGACATCTGCAGTCACTGAATTTGAACAATCCCACTATGAATGATTATCTTGGCGTGGTCAGGAGCAACACTGGTGGTGGGGCTTTGAGAAGATCCAGCCAGCAACTTTACAGCAACCAGGCACTGGCTTTCACAGTACCCCGAGCCGCGTAGTTGGAATGCAGGCATCTGGGAGCATGAACAAGTCCACCGGACATTCGTACCTGGAGAAGCGGCCGCTTGCCTTTTTTTGCATGAAGTCCCCGCGAGAGCTGCAGAGTGTTAGATTTCGGCGCTGTGAAGAAAGTTCTGCGGCATCATGTCGATCCATTGGTTTCAGAGCCGCCTCAGGTATGGCGTAGCAACACTTGGCACCCACCAGGACAATGTCGAAGTGAGAAACGACATGAAAAGCCTGCAAATGTCCTGATGCATTGCCAAGCGATACTGGGAGGAGCGTATTGTCTACCGCAAGCTGTTTCTGTCCATGCTTCGTGGCTTTGGCAGAACGGGGGCTTGTCTCGTGAACCATCTTCGGTGGACGGCTGGTTGGGGCTGAGGGTAGGAGAGTGGCTCGTCCGTTCCCTGTCAGGTGCTGAGTACCTTCATCTCATGGATACCGGGATGCTGCCGCGACGAGCTGAAGGCCTGGGGAGGGATCAAGACAGCAGTTTCGGAGTTTCGGCGAAACTTCAATTGTCTCCGAGTTCCCTTGCCATTTCACAATTTCAGATCTGCGTATGAGGCGCCGAGCTCCTGCTGGCCAGCATCGATGCAGCAGATGACTTCGCTTCCATCGGCTTGAACGACTGAAGGGAGGGGGGGCAGGGGGTCGGCCATTCTGCTCAGCTGCCAGACTCGCCTGAGAGGAGGGTACGTTAACAAAAGCTTTACATATATGTATACATATATATATATAGATATACATACATACATATAAATACGAATGATATATTTCGTGTGGTCCCAGCGATGCCCTGCAGAAACCCCCAGCCCAAGCCCACACAGCGCCTGCAGGACTGGAAAATCCTACAGGGTCAGCTGCTGAAGAGTGCCCCTACTCAAATTGTGTGGGTTCATTTGGGGTCCAGGACTCTTGCAGCGCAGAGTATCATCGAGCAATGGCCAAAGGGATGAGTTGAGCTTGATGGGAGGTGGGCTTCAGGGGTACGGACATGTGATGAAATCTCTCGTCTTGTGTCGTGTGTCACTGCATCCGAAGTATGAGGCAGGCATCTCTCGCTCTGCCCCTCCTTGGTGTTGTGGCTTTGGCGTCTGGTTCTCCTTCCGTTTCGGGATCCGTCTTGACCGAGCGGTGGCCGCAACAAAATCGGACACTGAACTCGGGCATTCGCTGGTCGTTGGATGTTGTGGAGTTCTGTTTATCGCTTCAAAGTTCGCAACAGTTTTGATCTTTTGTCGGCTGCCCGAAGACTCCGCCAGCTTTTCTTGAGCATGCTAAAGCCGTCTTATGTTTGCAAGAGTTTCCTCTCACTTCCAGGCGTAGGGAGGGTTTAAAGCCTTTCGTCGTCAGGCGACCACTTCGGGGCGAGCTCAGCTTGCGCCCTGTCCCCCATGACAACTTTTGATATCTCCTGCTGCTTCGTGCATCCTGTCCGAAATAGCTGTCGACGTTTGCGTCGTTGTCGGCTGCGCAATTATTGCAGCGAGGCGAAACACTACTCGGTTTGCTATTCTGAGACTTGCTGTGATTGCTGTGCTTTTCGATGCCCGACCTGTGCAATGTTTCTTGCTTGAGGCATCTTGAGCACGATGCGCAAGAGCAATGTTAGTCACGTTCGATCACTGTATGCTGCGCGTGCTGGTTAGAATACGTAGAGGGGACTTGATCAGTGTGCATGGAGAATGCATGGGGCAGGGCTGCATTGCCACTGACCACTTCTGTCTCAGGGCGTGGCAGCATCTTGGTCAAGGCAGGATTCCGCAACGGCCAGTGTGGATGTGAAATTGCTCGGGATGTGGGTCTGAATGGCTCTGCGTGTAAATCGGGCATACTTCGGACCACTGGAGGCCCGTGAGATGCTGTCTCCTTACTTTGCGCCTCTCAGCGGCAGAATGAAGAATGAAGCAGCTCGAACGACTTGCTGGCTGCATATCTGAACTCCTCTTCTGAGGTTTGCCCCTGTTACTGTCAGTGGCGGCTTTGTCTTTGACCTGTTCACTGTTGTGGCTTTCATTGATGCACACCACACAGCGGCTATGGCGGCAGCTAGATCCTATAGTTCCTGACATGACCACAATCTACTACCATGACCACCATGACCACTTGTGCCTGTGAGTGTTTTGGTGTTGCTGAGGTGTGCCACCGACTCCTTCAGAGTGACTGCCTCTCTGGCAACGCACGCCACGACATCGTTGCAGAGTCCTGCACAGCCACTCAGCAAGGTGGAGTCAAGGTGGGAAGTGCAGAGTTGGCAAGATGAGCGCATGGTCACTGAGGGTGCTCCAATGAGGACTCCAATGTGCTCCAAGCTCAACTCAGTGTGTTTTTGGAAGCTCAGGAGTTGGAAGCCGCGCGCGGCCTGGCCTGCACAGCCCAGATTTCAGCTGCTTCAGCTTTTTGGGGTGCGGCTTTGACTGGAATCTTTGCCGGTTATGAACTTTGACTCGTGGATCTCAACTAAGATCAGCTTCTGAAGGAAAATTGCACCTCGGCTGCACCACAAGGTAAGTCTTCTTTGTTCAATGCAAGTGCTGCATCCTTCTGGGAGACAAAAAACTTCTCGTATTCTCATCTCTTCAACATTGAAGCATTTTGAAGCCTGTGCGTTGACTGGGTGGTCTCACGGTGGTGAAACGGTGTTCTCACGGTGGTCTCACTTCTGCCGCTCTTTGGAAGGTATCGGCGCACAGCAGATCAGCAAGGCCTGCTGGGAAAAGAAAAGTCAAGACGTAAAGAGGTCACGGAAAAGACCTGTGAACGGCTTCTAAATGGATTAGCGCACACCCACCCCCATGCGGCTCGGCCCTCCCTGAACATACTGCAAATAGCTCGTACCCGGGCTCCTTCGGCCTGACGAAGGGACATGAAGGGATGCTTTCGCACGGAACCTGGCGGAACCTGGATCCCACCCGCCATGTCCGCCATCAGGTTCGCACCATGCAGCTGGCCACCATGCTCTTTGAGGTTCAGAAGGATCGCTAGGGCCGCTAGGGTGACTACAATAGCAAAAGCCCCAAGATGCATTGTGAGACTTCTTCTGTGCAGCTTAGGGATGCACAACCCCTGGCCATGCCCCTTTCAGGAACAGGTCGCTCGCTGGTTGGAGATGGGTGCCTCATCTTGTTGGCACTTGTTGCGATGTTTGGATGTTTGGAGCCGGCTGTGTAAGAAACCTTTGCCCGGACGATCTCCCGCAGAAGTGCTTGACCGCATGGCCGCAAGCAGCATTGCAGGTGTCATCTCCGACAAAGAGATGGAGGCCCTGTCATCCTCGAGCTGATGATAATCAACAGAGCTGGTTGCCCCGTGCTTGTGCTTTGTAGTAAAAGACGGCACATGACCTAAAGGGAAGATGCATGGGCTGCTGCTTGGTGAGCCTCCAATTCGTCAAGTTCGTTGTCGAAGCAGGTATCTGATTGTAGCAAGCTACGCATGGCAAGAATCGAAGATCAGCTGAACCTTGTCAGGAGCTTCTGCACATAATCAAGCACGGGCTGGAGCATTCGCAAGAGACCATGAAGAAGAAGGCGACACAGTCCATACTCGATAGTGCTGCCTGCCGCACATCTGACTAGAAACGTGATGTTTCACACTGACGTTTCTGCATCAACCCATTTTTAGCAGGTCATCCGGTCATCCTGTGTAGGGTGGTATTGCAGAAGTCGCGGCCAAGTCATGGGACTGAGCTGGCTGCGGCCAATTCATGACCATCGCTGTGCGTGGCAGGTGCTGAATCAGATGCGCAAGGCTCGTCAGACTTACGCGATGAGCACATGCCGAGACGTGGGGCCTGCAGGGCTGTAGGGAATGACTGCCCCAAGTTGACAGGCCAGGGAGACCATGATGACGTTCCGCTCCAACACAGGCTTGGCTGCTTGTGCTGAGATGTGGTGAGCATTGGCTGGTCTACTAAGTCTTACTAAGTCTACTGCGGCATCAAGTTGGAGTGGCAGGCACTTGATCATTGCTTTAGCAGTTACGCTGGCAGGCCTTCTCTCGCGCGAGACAGAGTGAGATCTGAGGACGTTCTCTGCATGTGCGCTGAAAGGGAAGCAACTGAGCCTCCGATGTTCGGCAAAAAGCAGTCGACCCTGAGAGAAGTGAAAAGAACAAATTGGAAGCTCCAAACCCTGGCAGGAGCATCGATGCGTTCCGACGGTTCCGACATGCCTGCCACTTGAGCGCAGCTGTTTAAGTGACGGACACACAAGAGAAAAAAGACTGAAAGCAAAGTGTCAGGGATTCTATAAATTGTGACTTGTCAGCGCCTCCGCGCTGTGGGATCGGTGGCCAAAAATTGTTGTGTCTTAGGGGAGAAAACCAAATCTTGCACCGCGCGCCATTTTCCACTTTTCCACAGTCCGCATTGAAGACGTGGATCTGTGCCCATGGGCCTCCTAGGGCTAGGCCTGCATGGCCAGGGTGCTGGTGCGCGGTGGTATTTGCAGCCAGCAGTTAATGCCATCTCGTTGGCGGCCCAGACATTGAAAGCCTGACCATGCATCCTGTAGCATCGGGAACTTGATAGGTGATGGAAGGCATCATTGCAGTTTTCGAGGTTTGCTTCAACGTGGCCAGGAGTTCTGCCTGAGCCTGTCTCGGAATGTGCGCTGAAGTGCCTCAGCGCATCCCTTTTTTGGGAAGTGAAACGCTGAACGTGCATTGAACGTGCATGTGGAGACACGGGACCTGTAGACCGGTCCCTTGGGGACGATGTTCCTCGTCAGGGCGAATGGATTGTCGCATCGCAGTCCATGCATGTTTCTAAGCTACAGCTACTGCGTGCATTTGTGGACGTGAAACACAAGCAAAGGTGTACTTGTCGGTTGATGTCGAGCAGTGTTGACCTAGCAGCCTTATCTTCGGAGCATTGGATTGCAGCTTTGTCCGTTTAGCTGCCTTGCACATGTCCATGCGTCTTGGCACCAGTGCACTTGCCAATTCATTTATATGTTTATCGGTGAGATGGCTCTGCCTAAGGCAGAGCCTGCGGCCTGCAGTCAAGCATAGTTAAGCTCAAATCAATGGACGAGGCCTCCAAGAGGACAGAGAAAAGCGAAGCGCTGCCTTGACTTGGTCGCATCTCTGTCTTTGCTGTCTTTGTATGACGTTGCAGGTGATCAGGTATGTGAGCCGTGTTTACAGCAATCTGAAATTATGATTTACTTGCAAATATTGGAGCAAGTGACTTAGACTTAAGCTTCAGCATCGATGCCCGCAACGAGGCGACGTTAATTCTTTGAGAAGTCCTAACTGCCCAGCAATTGTCGAAGCACTAACAATCATGACAACAGCCACCACTCGGTGAAATCAAAGTCAGAAAAGTTATCAGCCAACCTTCACGATCGCCGATGCGCGGTTGAATGGTTTTGTTATATACACATATATACACCAGTCCAAGGCTTCTTCTCTTGAAATAAGTTGTTCGCTGAACGTGTTTCTCCATAGTGGGTATCCGAATCTTCTACATTGACTTCCAAGCAATTCCAAGCTCAGTGCTCTGCTCCTTGAATGTCCTCGAGTTGCCCCCAAGACGAAACATGCAATCCACTGAACTCGGTCGCTGACAGGATGGGGCCCCAGACCAGAAGAGGCGCAAGCAAGGGTGACGGATCAGTCACGGTTGAGAGCTCTCTCTCGTTGAGAGCTCTCTCGGAGACATGAGTGACAAGTCTAGATGGCCCGACAAACGCCCGTGTGAGTCTGTTGTGCCCACTGCATGGCACTACGGGCGCTCTCTCGCAGGCAGCGGTCGTTTCCTTCGGCTTGCGCAGACGACTTGTCAGCAGGAGGTAGGCAAGGGAGGGAGGGCTTTTGTAAGTTTGTAGTTCCCCTCGGTCAGGGTGACGGGACAATGCGGGCGAAAGGTACACGACTCGACGACGTGTGTGGGGTGTGTAACAGGCATCTACTGCAGTCCTGGTCCAAAACACATGACGCAGTATACCTTCTGGATTCTGGAGTCTCAAGTCATCGTGTTTGTGTACATGTCCTTCAGCCGTAGAATCACCAGGCTTTGCAAAGCCTTGGATCTTTGTGAAGGAATGCCAGTGAAGGGCGCCAAAGTGTTTGTCCTTTTCAAGGGGGGGTGAGGTCCCTTACGAGCGCAATTGAAAAACATAACTAAAATAACGGATGCCTCTTTCCCACCAACGGAGGGTTGCTCCTTACGCCATGGCCCTGTTTCCCGGAAGACTCTGCGCATGGGCCTGCCTCGCGCTTGCACTGCCTGACGCCCTGTAGAAAATGTGTGCCTTCCCGGATTGCCCTTGGTCAGCGCTAGGCCCCCACCTCCAGCCTCTGTCCCCGACATCTCTGCTGAGTCTGTGCACTGGGCCCTTCGGGGTTTCGGGGAGACTACTTGCGCGAGAATCCATTAGCACTGCGCGTTGCGACGAGCTGCAGTACAGCTCTTGGCACTGGGCGAGGCAGCCCTTGCCCCGCACCTGGCCGGAGCGACCCCAAAAGGCCCGGATGATGTCTCGCCCGCGGTCATGGAGGGAGTGTCAAGCACTTCCTGTCGGTGTAGCGTCGACAGTGCTTTTGACGGACGCCGCTTCCCGATCGTCTTCAACTGCCTGTTTCGCTTCTGGAGCCGCGGTCAGGAGCGCCGCCTTCAGCGAAGTCTTTACAGGCACCAAGAGGGTTGAGGCCGTTGTTACTTGGCTACAGGCCATTGGCGAACCACAGCCAGGCCGTCTCCTTGGCTAAACTGGTTTTCGCCAGCCGGCTAGCAGAGGGGGGCTTCGGCAGGCATCGGAAGTGGACATAGACCGCTTCAGGGCGGAGGGCTTCGGCAACAAGATGCAAGACGGCAAACATAGCAAGGTGCTAGGCAAGCATACCGTAGGCCGCTCCGCAAGGTTCGCCAAGGGGGATCCAAGGGGGATTGGGCAGGCAGCAGAAGGGTACTCTACTGTAAGTTGGAAGGGCTCGGCTTTGACAATCCCGCACCGGCCTGCACCTGCACCAACTTATGTTTCACTCAAGCTCCCGAAGAGCGTGACATACTAAAATCTTTAGAGGAATCCCGAGGGCATCTCAGCACGATACGCTCGTGTTGGCAAGAATACCGTGGAGAGACATGATGAAGACACGGTCCGACGTGCAGAGCCCAGACAGCTTCGGGATGTCGTTGAAGTGCTCCGACCAGCTGCGGGACTGTCTTCCAGAGCTTCCACAGTCATTCAAGACATCGAGGCAGCCCATTCTGCCATTCTGCATCAGAACTCCAGCAAAGCACCCTAAGGTGCCGGTCAGAGTCGCATGGGAGCAGCTGGGGGGTCCCCTGCATTTAAGACCTGAGGGTGTTCGCCCGTTGGTCACTTGTTGTTGCTCACGCCGAATGTCGCGTGCGTTGGACCGGGGGCCTCGTGACAATCTTGCAACCGAAATTGTTAGGGATGTGAAATGTTCGCTGATATTTGCTCCAAGCATGGCAACGACATGGCACTGAAGCTGCATGATACAGGATCGTTCGTCTGTCAGGATCAAAGCTGGTGATGGACATTGGGGCGAACTATGGTCAAAGCAGTGCCCTTCCTGCGATGAGACGCAGTACTGTGGATGTGATGGGCTGGGTATCCTGATAGGCGAGCGATACCTTGCTGCGGGCTACAAGGCTTGCTTGAAACCCACGTTCCACTGATATCAATGCCCAGCGGCAACATGCCGGGTTGTACGAACAGGTCGTTGCGGTAGAACCGAATCCCGCTGCTGCTGCAGCGCGGTGCTGATCTGATGCTGATGTCAGTTTGGGGATTTTGGGGTCATGGCTGCCAGCGCACGGATGCAACTGGCAGTGCCGAATTCATGTGCGAGGCCCTCCGCAAACGTCTTCAAAGCCACCTGAGCACTGGCCGCCTGGTGCTGGAGGAAGGCACTCAGTCTGATCTCCATATTATGAAGACACTTGAAGCAACTGCCCTGACCCCGTCATCATCTGTCATCCATGAGCTCAAACGACACAAATCGGCATGAAGAGAGAACATGCGCAGGAGAAGGCGGTGTGGAGTCCGACAGTTGTTGGGGCGACGTCAGCGCTCAGGATGCAAACAGAAGTACATTGCGGACGGCACGCGAGAGTGCGGGGTGTTTTTTTGTTCGAAACATTCTCTGAGCGCCTCAGCCTCGCTCCCGTTCTTGAGAGCTCGGTGTTCAACATTGTTCAACATTGTTCAACCTGTGGCATGCCCGACTATATGAGGCTGATGAGGCTGATTCCGTCATCCTGTACGTCAACAAGGAAGACTCTGAGTGGAGCAGTCATGCCGGCTACATTTTCGCGAGCATGAGCTGTCAAACTGTGTTTTCTTGCATCGGCTTGCATCGGCGATTAAGTCCCCCAGGCTGCCTGCGGAGTGTGGGGCACAGGTACGACACGGAGGACCTGGAGTGTCCACTCATGCCCTGCCGTTGCCTATAAGCCAAAATCGGGCTCTGACATACGTATGCATGGATACCATGCAAAGCAAAGTCGGTCAAGGTCGGCAAGGAGCAAACAAGATCCTGCAATCTGTTCCAACAGAAGAGAAGCACGAGCCAAGCAAATTGTGTTCGGCATATGCAATGCCGCAGCATCTGGTCTTCAAGCAGAATCCAGCATTATAAGCAGACGACTGGGCAAGCCTCGGGCCCAAGCGCAGGCTGACGCCGTCAACGTTGCGACTGTCAGCCTCGCCGCTGCTCGAATGTAACCAGGATTTCTGACTGCGCATGTACCTCTTGGCTTCACCGTCAATTGAATAGGTCCGCCGCTGGTCGCGCAAAATAAATTGGGGTTGCGATCAAAGGTCCTGCATGAGCCGTTTTTTCAAGCCGACAATTGCAAGCCTGAAGGCATGGTGCGACGGTCCGCGACGGTGTTCGCGAAAGTAGACTTAGATTTCGCGAGACCGCTATGTACGCTATGCTTTCTGCGGGCCTTGTTGTCGAGGTGTTTTGCTCAGTGCTTTTTGCGCCAAGGGTTCCAGACCTTCAGGCCCCAGACTCCGAGATCCAAGCATTCGAGACCTAAGAATCCAAGATCCAAAAAAGACTACTGCTTTGTAAACACTGTAGTCCGACAGACACGGTCAGAAAGCGGCGTTCGGCTATAACCGTATACTCATACAACCCGCCTCCAACCATACTTAGTTATTTTCAGTATTCAGGTGGGGAAATGATTTCGGAGTATAGCTCATCAAGTCAGAAACAGATAATTCAAGTTAAAGGCCACTTGTTAGTCACAGAATTTGCGCCTAATTACAAAAAAATACTTAGCCCGAAGTCATTAGGCTGAATAACCTTTGCACACAAGCAAAGTCATGTAAACTAATGAACTGGCTGAGAATCAACCAGAATTGAAATATGTGATGTCCAATGATATGATAGTAGCACAGAGAGGATGTGTAGCAAGTGGACTACAACAGAAATACGTGCAGAGCAGAGACAGAGAGCTTCAGAAATCAGACGAACAGAAATGGTTATCATGAAGCGGCTTCGTTGAAGCAAATGTCGGTATAAGAACACACATGAATGCAGAACCATGTCGAAGGAAAGGATATTTCAACCGGGAAGCATCGGCATTGACGTATTTTCGATACGTTGTATCTGTATAACCCATACAAGGACAAATGGACAGTGCGACAGAGGAGGTGACCATTTATATCTACACATCTGCTGCCCCCCCCCTCCCCCACCCAAGAAGTAGATATTCAATATCTACTGGCCTCTTGGGCGTAGGATGCGGGTTAAGGGCACCTTGAAGGGCTGAGGGTTATGTAAGGCATAGGCTTTGACAATCTCAGTGTAGAAGGGTTTTAAGGTTCGATGCAGAAACTCGAGCCAAATTGAGAAGCAGCTTCACACAAGGAGATGGAGATGAGGGTTAATCTTCGGACGTTGGGTCTATCAAATCTCCTACGGGTTTGCATCCAGATTGAGTAGATCGAGTATCCAATTATTGCCACGTAATGCCAAGACCACGGTTATGCATGTGCGCGCACAGGCTTTCTGAGATTCGAGTAGCAGTGGATGCTCAAGACTCAGTTTATTCGTTGTAATGAGTAGAATTAAATTATTGACCGTAGTTCCTATCCAAGTTCAGCATGTAAAAACAAATTGGGTGACATAGCTGGAGGAGGTCCAGCACATATCTCTGAAACGATGCGCCAAATGAGCTTCGGCGCTCAAAGTGGACAGCTAAGGCGCATCATTATCTGATCATTTGTAGTCTAAACTCTTTTGTTGAAAGCCGGCGGGTTAACACTGTAGCTCATTGACATATTGCAGATCTAACATCAGACTATGTTAATGAAGAAGGAAAGTTAGTTACATTGTTATTTTGAGCGAAGTAACCATACTTAGCCAACAGTTGAACCTTGGACTTTTAGGAATAACGAAGTGCAATGTGATTATTCTTTGGTTATAGAAGAAGTAGAATAGTTGTTTAGGAGTATGATTATATAGAGGCCATGGCAAGTCACATAATGGAATTGAACCCTATATCCAATACTGATTTTCCAGTAGTCATCACCATTAGTTCAAGAAACACAGCACCTGCGGAATTGAACGACAAACAGTATTTTGAATTTCAAGCCGCTTGTTATCATAGCTCAAGCAGTGGAATAACTACTAGGTTCACGCGCTGTAGTTTGCCTGGGCACGGCCTCTGCGTGACACATCGTTCGTATTGGCAGGTGTGGTACGGAGCAAAAGATCTGTTTTTGGGGGGGTTCTTAAACTATTCTTTTTTGGACGCGCGTGTTCGGGTTTTCAGTGCAAGATTTGGGCATGGTCGCCAAAGGCATGGACACTTGTGACAGCTTTTCTTGTTCCGCATCCTTTTGCAGTATGTGTACAAAGAAGCAAAAACGCTGTAAATACCAGTGTTTTGGGCATGGTCGCGAAAGGCATGGATGCTTGTGACAACTTGTCTTGTTCAACATCCTTGCACGGTATGCTGTACAAACAGGCAAAAACGCTGTAAATACCAGTGTTTTGGGCATGGCCACGACAGGCATGGACGCTTGTGACAACGTTTGTTGTTCCACACCGTTGCGAAGTATGTTGTGCGAAGAGGCGAAAACACCGTAAATACCTGTGTTTTGGGCATGGATGCAATATGAATGACGTTCCTATCCCCCCCCCCCCCCCACCCCCCCCCCCCCCCCAATCCCGTGAGAAACAAGGAAACTACCAGGCAATCCGCAGCGCGTCGGCCAACTACTAGCCCCTGATGAAATATCTGCGTTGACTCTGATTTTCAATCGTCGGTGGGGAAGAGCAATTGTGATTATAGACCAACGAACGAATTTCATTCGTTTTTGGACATGTATCTGACTAAACGGCCAACTATTGGAGATCATGATTCTGTAAGCACTACTGCGGAGGTTCATGACCTACGTGTAAGTTAAATGTCAGTCGATATCAGAATTCACTTGGGAAATAATAAGGCCCTGATGATAATAATTGTGCTGAATCTTATTTGAATCGTTTATTTGGGGAGAGCCGATAATTCTGGACATTCGGAAAAGTCCGGCAATATTGGGCAATAATGAAGGACAGCTACTGGGACAACCGGGGGCGCCAAATGAGCTTCGAAATAGAACTTATGGGGGGATACTCTCACTAAGAAGAAATAAATTTATTAATACATGTCTTTCCAAAAAATTTAGCCCGCAAATTTAATTGTAACCTCGCCCCCGGCCCAAGATGCAAAACCAAATGGCCGTGTGACACTTACTACCTGTATATGACTTCCCCCAAGAACTGGAACAACAACAACTACTACTACTACTACTACTACTACTACTACTACTACTACTGCTACTACTACTACTACTACTACTAGCCTGTCAGTTAGTTTTGAATTAGAGCTGCAGTCAGGGTTACGATTACAAATATGAGAAGGCGAAGCTAAACAGTACAGAGGAATAAGATTAGCCTGTAGATTGACATGCGCTTGTGCTTCGTATGCACTTGGTATTCCAGCAACTTCAGTTCGTTTGCACACTGTTCTCAGCTGTAGAAAAACAGGTTATGAAGCGATGTCAGACAGATGTCACCTGCCAAGGACCTCTTCGTCAAGTACGGCACGCCATGGCCTGTGACTGAGTGGCTGAAGCATGCTGACAAGCTGCAAACTCGTGCCTGAACAGCCGCAATGGTGCAACTGGTAGGAGTCCTATTCCGGAAGAGGTACCTGAAGCTTGACACTGAAGGAGCTGACGGCTTGATTCTTCAGCAGGTGCCCTGCTGGTTCGTGTCCATCTTTCAACGGGTTGGAGCACATGGACTTTGTGAGTGGCGTGGTCAGTTGTCGGAGCTGCCATCGAAGCCGACATACATGTCTCTTGTGCCTTGGCTTTAGCTCAGCAGATTTTTCTTAGCTCACTGAGCAATGCCAAGCATTCGTGACCAGCATGTTTCAAGAAGCAGGAGCTGAACAGCCTCAACTACATCTTGCAGGACGGAATGCTGCTCAAGTTCGAAAGATGACGGCACAGGGATCTTGCATGGGTACTTGCATCTAAGACCAACATCAAACCCACAAACAGCGGGGAAAAAGTGACACTGCGGCGAATGCGTCGACTCCTTGTGCTTTTGGAGGCATCCCAGCTTGGCTATCGGGACTTCAAGGCACGGCAAGTCCAAACGACCCCCAACTTGCCGGAACTTCCCGGAACTTCTCAACATGTCAATATCTTCTGTGCGTCTCGGTGAGTAGTTCGTTTTGCAGTCTGTGAAGGGAAACCACTGAATCTTGCTTTTGCTGCCTTTATTTGCAATGTTACACTGCCATGCAGTAGCATCCCGCCTTGCTCTTCCAACTTGGACTCCCAACTCTTGCATCTCCAAAAACATGTGTGAGGTGGTGCCGCAAAGCCGTCACAAAGCCGAACATCTCAAGGATGAGCATGGAAGGCATCGCGAAATGGCCAGCACATACCGGCACCTCCGCGGGCCGCAAAAAAGGAAAATCAGTTTAATGGCACGGAAGATAATTACAAATATCTACATAAGCAAATACAGATAAATAAATATTTCTCTTTTCCAGTGCGAGTCGGATCGAATACCTCTCCTGGATTCCTTCGTGTGTCGTATGCAGGCCATTGACACATGCTGGCGATTTCGGCGAGGATGCTGATCTCCATTCAGCTTGAGAGCTCAAAGCGAAGTTAGAACTGCGCCTGTGTTGGCTCCATGCCTTGTGTACCCATTGCAACGTCTACAGAGAGGCTTCGGTGGCGCAGACAACTTTCTGGTGAAGACACAAAGACTGCCTGCAGCAGGATGCGTCGGGAGTGGATGGAGCGGCTTGGAGGGATGAAGGCCGGGCACGGACCACACAGCGCATCCGTGGCACATCATCCTCGGTCCTGCACAAAGCAGAGGCAACATCATCACATCATCCTCGAAGCGAAACAGCGAAACACACCTTGCAAAAGCATGGCACAGGAACCACGCTGGATCTTTGCCGCAGCTTGTGTTTGGTGCACCTCTCAGCATGCGAGGAGCACTTACTGCAATGTGTTTCCATGTGCTGCGCCTTGTCAAGAACCTGGAGAACCCTTCGAAGCCCTTTGCCCCTCCAAAACAAGGTTCACGATGCAAGCGCCGACGCACCAAGCTTCGCTGCCGGGCCCGCCAGGCACCGGAGCCGAATTTGCCAAGGGACACTCGGGATCTGGGCTCGCTCTCTGTGGTCTTTCTTCGGAAGGTATGTGGACCGAGACTTCGCCACATTGAGGGCATGTTTTCCCATCGAGAGCAAGGATGACGAGGCCAGGCCTGATGTTGGAAGATGTTGGAGTTGAGAGCATGTATTGCTGGCACCCTTCCGGACTCTCGGGAAAGGCGTTGCCGTTGTTTTTGCTGTAAGCTTCAGGCAGTGCGTGCAGTGCTCAGGAGTGGTACGACATCCATTGTCGGCACAGCTCTGCTGGCGCCAGCTTGAAGAGCATGCGCACAATGAGCGAGGCAAACTTGTCAGCAAAATGCGAGCATGAGAGCTGCGCGAGTCGCGCCCCTCACCAGATGGGTGCTGGCATCAGGCAAAGACATGCAACGACCTCTCAGTTGGGGATGCTTAATATTTTTGCCCCGGTATGTCGACGGCTCTCAGCTGACATTCAACCCTGTTAGTTCCTTTCCTCGCAGCTTAGCTATGGCATCCAAGCCGCTACCAGGCCGGTGACCCGGAGCTGAGTCGGAGACTCCTCTTTGTGACATTTTGTGACATTTTGTGACATTTTGTGACACGGTCATCCCAGAGCACCGTAAGCATAAGACTCCTCCACGCCGAGTTTGATGTCTGGGCCAGTCAAGCCACCCTGCAGCAACTGCAAGAACATGTTGTGATGCTGAGAGTGTCTACAGGAAGAAAGCTTGGCGTGAGGCATGTTGCTGTAGAACTACGACTAGGTGCTGCTGCTAGCCGCTGCTAGCCCCTCACTAATCTCTACACCCGGCAGCCCCAGCTGCCCCAGTCAGCGGTTTTTTTCGCGCCAAGGCTGGGTTGCTTTTTCGACCTCGGGCGTCGGGTTCTGAATGTGCAAATCAGTTTAGTGTTCAAAAGATTGGATCGAACTCTGCCACACTTCCTTCCTGGCTGCAGAGTTTTGCGCATCATGGGCAGCTGGAATTGAATCGTAATTCAAAGCATGAAGAGAGGCTTTCGCCCATCGCCCTCAAGCTTTTGGAGCGCGCTTCTCTGACCCGCCTATCCAAAGCCAGTCGTCAGCCAAGGTCGGGGGAATTTTTGGGTGGATCTTCATCCACCCAGCAACTGGGCTGACGGACTTTATTTTGGTTCAGGACCCTCCCGGCTCGTACCCCCAAATCACCGAATGCTTTTTCCTTTGCATGCGTGATGCTTCGGCGCAAGCAGGCTGGCACAGCCCATGCATCCTCAAGCTCAGGTGAACACCCTGGGCATTAGGATGAACCTCGCGAGTATGCAGGCCCTCCCTTAGCCTCTGCCATGCTTGGAGAAACTTCGGATTCAGTGTCACACATGCATTGCTCTAACGTTTTTCACGAAAGCTAGCTCCTGGGAGCTTGCGGGAGTTCTTCTTTGCAAATTACTGCTTGGGCCAAGCAGGACATGGGGAACTTTTCGCATGATATCTCAGAAATATAAGGTCACGCAGGCGCAGGAGGGGGAGGGGGGGGGGGGGCCCCCACCGCTCCCCGACCCCTTAAATTTCCTCAAGAAGTATAAGCCCAACGCACAAACAAATTCTGCCAGGTTATTTGAGCTTACAGCTTGTTCGAAAGCGTGACTGCGGCAGCTGCTGCAAAAGTCAATCTTGAGGAACTGCCTCGCTGTGAGTCACCTCTCATGGCTAGACTGCTCGACGATCGTTTGAGGGAACCAGCATTGTTGCTGCTCCTGCCAAGCCGTAGAGACGCGGCCGCGCGGAACATTGAGGCCCTAATGGGCCCTAGCTTTCGCCCTGCCATGGCTGGAGCGCTTTTCCAGCTTTTGTTGTGCGTGTGTAGTTTGTTGAAGCCTTGGCTGCAGAATCCGGGTGTGAAGCTGAGCCTGGCCACCTTCGCTGCGGACACAGTCAAGAAGGCATGCGACTCAGATTCAAACTGCGAGTCTTGTGAAGACTCACTCGGAGATGTAGAAGCCGAGACTGTGAAATTCTGTGAAATTTGCTATGGCACGAATATAATGAGCACACAGAACAATATGTACTGTAACTGCCACGAGCCATCGCTGTATGTGAACCATTCTGACCAAGTCCGGCTTCTCGAGCCTTTACAATGGCTTGGGCGCTGGCATTTGGAGACAGGCGGGTTCGAAGGGATTTAGGGAAATGTCAGGGGAGATGTCATGGATTGTCACATCCTCTCTGGATGCTTCCTGCCACAGCTCTGGATGGTCTGAATGGACTCTGGAGAGCGGCGAAAATGTTTCGAAGAGAGGTGTTCTATGCTAGCAGCCGCTATGGCCTGCAGCGCGCTCAACATTTTAGCAAGCTTGCGCTGGTTGCCTGTTGATTGCCTGTGACTGGAGAAGTGAACCTTCGACATTTTTCTGGCCATTTCTGGCCTTAAAGTTGCCTTACTTGAGGGAATCTGTGCCGACATTCCCCCCCGACAGTCTTGCTACCACTGTGCTGATGCGGTCCGGATCTGAGGTTCCAAGTCTTCAGGGATACCCTTTCCCAGTATCGGGAGGTGGCCCCCTCAGAGGACCAGTTCGCCGCCGCTAGTAGGAAGCTGGTCAAAGCCCATAAATTTGCCAGAGAGCGCATCCTCAAGAACCAATTTGCATGATTTTGCCTCATTCTTCCTGCTTCCCTGAACTAAGATGGACTTTGGATCGCGACTCTTCTGTGCCCGGGCCGTACGCAGTGAGCATTGTCAAAGCGGAGTTTCGGCAAAAGAGTTCTTCAAGCAGATTCTGCTAAATTCTGGCATTTTCTGTACGCCGGTGAGGCGACAGCTGCTGGCGGGCTGGCAGCACTGTTTTCGTGCCCTTGTGAGGTGAGAGCTGCATGGCGAAAAAACAACCATGCCGCATACTATATTCACTATATGTCGCTGCTGTACTTGGCCTTGGCATCATCTTGGGGAGGTTTCCCTTGTTCGGCTCTCCAACGATGCCACCCTGCCAGAAGCGGAGAGGAGAAACTACAAGGCCCTGGATCACCTGAAGTGACACTGCGACAATGCAACAAAGCACGGCTCACGTTGAGGGTGTGATCGACTGCGCGCAGCGTATTGCGCGAGAAGAGGGTGCCGGAGCCTGAGCATTGTTCGGAGTCCCCTCGCTGCAAGTCCTCAAAGCAACCGAGGTCACTGCCTTTTGGCGCGGGAGCACGCCTTTCGTTACCCGAGCTTGCCTGGTCGGTGCGACGCAGGTGTGCAGCTCCCGATTCCGCATCGAGGATCTGCAATATTCTGCAAGCTAACAGACATGTCCAGCGACACCCTCCCTGCAACCGAGTCGGAAGCTTGATTTGCAAGGTTGGGTGGGAGGGTGGGAGGGGGGCTGCGCCCCGCTGCGCCTGCACCGCAATGGTTTCGACTTCGCTGCCCATGTACACGCTGCAGTTTCTTTTCAAATCATGGAGAGCCCATGGGAACCTTAAACTTCAAGTGAGGTGACAGCCGCTGCTTCTCTAGATTCTAGTAGGCAGTTGCAAGCATGCCCTTCATGAGCATGCAATTCTGATTCAGAAAACATGGGAACGGTGGCCATGGCCAGGCTGAACCACAGAGGCGAGTCAAACACATGCAAAGTTGCATCGAGCCTTGTGCAAACCTTTGCGAAGCTGCAGCTCTTCCCGAGTGCTTCCGGATGCTAGTGTATGCAAGCGGCCTTTGTCGGAACTTGTCATGAGCAGACTCGGGCTCAAACACCTCAAAAGCTCACACGCTCAGCTCCACCCTCCCACAGCATAGTCATAGTGCTGCCCACAGCAGCATTGTTCATTATTTGACACTGCCAGTGACGAGTTTGGATTTTGTTTCTCAAGGTTTACATAGCCAAGGCCATGGCAGATGCCCCGGTAATGGAATCGACGTGGAGACACGGTTCCGGAGCTGGCTTCAAGCCGTGCCCCATCCACCAAAATCTCCCCGTCTTCAGCCAGTCGGTCAGCACAGACCACCCTGGTGACCACTGTGACCACTGTGACCACCCCCAAAGTTTTCGCCGGGCCAAGGCAGTTGTTGGCCCGTTCGCCTACACGCCTGCGCCACGTGGGCGAAGCCCGTCGCGGCTCAGCGACGCCTCGACAGAGGATATGTGTGGCGACAAGGCCTTCACTGCACTTACCCGCTCCTCCTCGGAGCCGTCTCTTGCCCGGACTAGCCACATCATCGCAGGGACACACACGGCGGTGGTGTGCCACGAGTGCATGGTCACGCCCAGGCGCTCGCAGCTGGCGATGCTTGCGCAACCCGCCTGCCAAGACAACTCACGTCAGGACACCGCCCATGTGCAAGCAGATCAAGATGTGTCCCCAGTACCCTCCGAGACCGTGGCTGAGCCTCACTGCAAGCGAGAGGTCTTCACCAGCCGCAATTTTGGTGGGCAACCCAACCAGCAGCCAAGCATTTCTGCGAAGGTGAAGCAGGTGAGTGATTCACAGTCGTCAAAACATTCGAGACACACCGGTACCCGGCAAGCATTCCAGCAGCCCAGGCAGCCCATGCAGCCCCAGCCAAAGCAACCCTTGTCCTGGATCCACGTGCCAAGGACGCCGCTCTGGCAACGAAGCTGCTCCTCACATTCCTCCCCAGAACTTGCCAAAAAATCTGCCAAGCCGCTCAAGCCCAAGCCTGAGGCCAGTATGGCCAGTCCAAGTTCAACAAAGGCATACGCCTCATACGCCTCAAATTTCACCCGTGCCAAACAGAATGCCCTCACGGCTGCTAAAGGCGCTGCTAAAGGTGCCCTTCGGCATGTGCTCACCCCATTCCGACCATTGACTCCTTTCGCTCCCTCCCTAGCAGCCAAGCCGAAGCCGGCTCCGGCTCCGAAGCCAAAGTCCAAGCTCCACTGCGCGGTGGCCTCGGCGACTTCGGAGGTCCGAGGCTGCAGCGGTCGCGGAGCCGTCCGGCAGTCCCTCAAGGACGAGAATGCTGCCCTGCAGGCAGACATGTCAAGTGTCGAAGCCTTCTCAAATTTTCCATGAATATCCGTGAATCATGACATAGGTACCTTCTGACATGAGTGTGAACAGTGAAGACCACATCCATTCACATCCATCCACATCCATAAGCAGCACTTGCATCTATATCTATTGCCAATGAGAGTTCTGCTTCCGCACAGGCAGAGCTGGCGCGGGCCATGGAGGTCCTCACCGAGTTGGAGCGCCTCAAGGCTGCAGATGCGCAGCAGCCACCTGGCCGTTGCATGGGGTTGAAGGCTTGAAGGGCTGTTCGCTGGCGTGCAAGGCAGTGCAGTTAGGGCCCTGTAAGGTCTAGGGAGATTTGTGGCCATCAACATTTACAGGGGCTGTCACGTGGTTCGGCCGCTGAGCTCCTTTTGCGAGCAGATATATGCTTCACCGGACATGCGATACGAAAAGAGAAACGTGAGTTGTTTCTCAAGGCGGTCCCAACAGTTACCTGTACGAACTTCCCCCACGGCAAATAGTTTTCGTGGGCTGAGTAAATGCCAGTTCCATGCGGTAGGAAGACATGGGCAAAAGTAGTTCCTGCCAACCCTACTGCCATCCGCGCGGTAAGACGAAATAAGACGAAAGGGGGCACTGTCTAGGGTTGGGAAGATGTCGAGAGGCTTGGGTTTGTTCCTGTTGGCAACCCAAGCTTGCCATTGCCACAGCAAACGGCCGTGCTTATCAATGCTGTCGTAGCCACAACCTCTTAACTCCTATATGTTGACAAGCCTGGATGCATCGGCGATGATGGGGATGCCTTTTTAGGAAGCCTGACGAACCTCCTGCTGCACATTGCCATTCCAATCCAAGCAGAACTTCAGCTCCGTCATGTTATGAACCCAGCATGAACCGATGCCCTTGGCCATCCAGGCTCGGAGATCTTGAGGCCAGACGCCAGGACTCTTCATGCACACTGAGCACGTTCATTAAGCTTCACAGTGCTGTAAGAGGATGTACACATTTGTATCCCACCATCCAATTCTCCCTAATGTTACAGTGTCGGCGCATGGCCCGATGTCATTGAAAGGAGCTTCTGCGCTTGTCTTTCAGAGCACGTTCTGCTTTGGGTGAGGAGGCAAGGTGCCCAAAGCAGAGAATCTGCCGTTGTATCACCTGTTGCCCGCCTGGAGAAGGATGATCTCACCGCGCACTTGCGTCAGATGGCCAGCGATGCAGCTGAGGTTCATGATGTTCATGTTCTTTATGCATGACGGGTGAGGATGGATGACCATATGTGGCCCATGCACAGATGACGCTGGGACTTGCCTTGATCAGGTTCGGCAATCCCTGGATGCCGCGCAGCAGAACTGGCAACGGCAAGGCTTGAGGCGCGCACCTGGAAAGGGCAGTACGCCGTCATACGCCATCAAGCGCCCGCTCGCGTTGCTTTCACCCACTGCAGTTGCATTTTATACCGGTTGCCCAGTCGGTGGTTGCATCGTGTTGCATCTCTTCTAGAAACCTTCGGACGAAACCACGCACCATGCTGACGAGTGCTTGAGGCTGCTGCGCGACAGTTCGCTGCCCGCTCGTCATGGCACAGCACGTTGTGGCCAGGGAGGTCAAGGTCCAGGTCAAAGCCGAGTGAGGAAAGGCAGCTGAACCTGCGGTCAGGTTTGTTTTGCACCAGTGGCTGCGATGCCTGCACGATAAAGAATTCAGAATGCATATGGCGTCGCTTTAAAGGCGCGCATGGAATGCTGCAATCAACACCACGCGGCACTCACTGTTGACAACCACAGCATCGAAAAGCGACAGCCTAGTTTCTACCGGTTACCGTAAATGCCATTGCCTTTGTACACGGGGCCCTGTTGAGCACCCTCTCCACACAGACTTTTCACAGCTGGATGCCGAAGGGGCAATTGCAACCTATTTCGGTGTAGATGAGGGAAAAGTGCTGCAGTTTGAGCTCTCCCTAGCTCCGAAAGGGGAGGGCAATTGCAACCTCGGTGTAGATGTGTGTAAGTTACTGTGTAAGTGCTGCATGCAGTTTGAGCTCTCCCTAGCTCCGGTTGCATTGCCATGGAAGCTCAGCTGCACAGCAAGAAGCAGACTCTTGCAGTAGAGGATACCCTTTGGGCCCTCGGGCCCTAGATTCCCATAATGGCCGTAGTGATTCCCGTACTCCTTTGAATGGTTGAAACATGTGAATTGAGACCCAACAAGACACCAAGAAGTCAGCGGCCAGTGGAGTCTTTGCAGGTTTTCGCCTGAAAACGCCTTGGCAGAGCCTGTAAAAGAACTGCAGTACGGCACATGCCAGTGTGCGTCCTCTTGGTTTCGAATGGCTGCGCCGTATCCTGCAGCAGGCATGTGACAGGGCAACGCTGTCATGGACATGTGTGCGGGTGCATGGTCGCTGCCTGAGGCTGCAACTGGATTCTTCTTGCGAGCTCTCAATATGTATAGTATGTGTAGATGTATATGTATATATTTTTTTCTGCACCATGTACAGCTGGTTCTCGTGACGGCGCATAGGCCTGGGCCACGTGTCGAAGTGAAAAGGAGATGGACGCCAGCGTATGAGCAGGCGTGAGCTGAACTGTTACTTTCAAAGCTTTGTTGAGTCATAAAGTGTTCATGTTCTGGCGGCTGCAGCAGGCAATGCGACTCCAGAGACTCTCTAACCTCGCTTTTAAGAGTGAAGATTTGATTCCCCCCGCCCCCCCTCGCAGAGCGAAACCTGCTGTCGCACATGGTGGCCTGTACTTGTTGTATGCGTCGGGTTTGCGGCACCTCGCAACTGTCGTCAGTTTTGGAGTTTGAACTCATCTTCGCATGTCCAACGCGCCAACAGGCCTGAACTTGTCGCCGTGCGCCAAAGATTCTTCTAGCTTCGGGGATTCCAGATGGGACCCTAAACCCGCCTTCTCTCGCGATCCATGTTCCTTGTTTCGGCTAGCCAAGCATAGTTGGAATATGTCGGAATGAGTGTAAGAATCTCAGAAAATCTCAGACAGTGCACCCGAAGTCTTGAAAGTCCGAGAGGCGCTCAGTCACCTGCTACGTCCGGACGTCCCGGCGTCCGTTCGCAGCCTCGGGGATGACAGCATCCTGCCAACCCAGGCGCTGTCGTGTTAGTCGTGTTGCATGCCATTACATGATATTACATGCCACAGCTTGTCGAGGCCACGTATAAAGCCATGAAGAATTAGCAGTCGGGTGATGTTCACTCAGAAGACCCCTGCCATGACCCAGGTGATGGCCACCCTCGCTCTGAGCTCGCAATG